TTTTGACTTAACTCTGATTTATACTTTTAATTTTTTTTATTAATCTTAAATTTGTGCTTCAAGTTTGAACTCTGTTACAATTTTTTTTATCCAAGTTTGTACTCTTTGATTTTTATTTTTTAGGATTTAGAAAAGTTTTTATTTCACAGATCTAATAATTTATATTTTGTTTGACATTTTTTCATTTTAGGTTTTCTTTAATCTAAACTCTAATTTCATATTAAAATTTTTATTTCTAAGTTTGATGTAAGAACGAGTATCGAGCTTAAACTTGAGTAATGTATTTCTCTTAAATTATTTAAATTTGAAAATTTCATGTTTATATAATCTTTGATTTATTATTAACCTAATATAATTTATATTTTCTAAAAAACAAGAAATTTTCTCTCATTTCCTTATATTATTAAAAAGATTTAAATTATAATATATACGAGAAAACATTATGTAAGAATAACAGTATAATAAAACTTTCGGTCCTTGAAAGGAAAACAACGGTTCCTGCATGCTTGTGAATCTGACATGTGAGGTGGCCTTGTGCTGAGTATATTAAAAAGCTACGTCGCAAGTACTGAGCAAAATTAACATGGCTCAAGAGGTACTCTTTTGACCCGCACTTATTCGCTTTTGGAATCTTCATCTCGAGTCATCCTATGAATTCATTTTTTTCCTCTACGATTTTAGTGTGGTGGGTCGATGGTTTTTCTCTCATAATTGCAAATTTTGTGGGTGTGGTCTGCATTTGATCTCTATATCGTTGTTTCTAACGAATATATTCATTTGATCTAATATCTGCTACGAGGTTGGAGCTTTCTCTTGGATCAATTGATTGATATTACTTTTCTGGGGTCAATGTCATTCACCACTTTACTTTTCCGGTTCTCCAACATGATCCAGTGATTCTTCATCAAATTTAGACACACAGGTCGGTGAAAAGTTACGTAACTTTTGATTTATTAATGTTTTATTTTGAGGTTGTGATGTATACCTGCGCGTCTGTAGTAGCAGAAAAGCAGTACCAATGAGGCTGTTTCTGTCTCCGTAGCAATTCCTGAGATAGGTCATGTGATAATCTGACATGACTGGAATAGAATATGCCTTCACTTTCGTCTTTTACTGTAAATGTATGCTTCTGTGATTCATATGATATGCCACAGTTAATCGGGTCGTCACTCTTTAGGACTTGGAATTTCCTTCAGGTTAATAATTTTCTCAATAAATATAGTTTTTTAACCTCTAACTCACCAAAGCAAATTTCAAGGAAGTAACTCATTTCACAAGCCTCTACTGCGTTTTTTATTCAGGAGGAAAATTTGATTTTAATAACTTCTTACATTGAACATTAATAAATGAGTTTATTCAATAACTTTATCAAAGTTTGTTTCATTTTCAAAAAAATAATAAAAAAAGCTTGAAAGATGTTAATAATAACAAGCTCTCAGTCAAATCATTAAAATGAGAAAATTCATGAATATAAGAACATATACTATTAATTTTATTCTTTAATTAAATTTTAAATTTTACTTTAATAATTCACGTAATAAATAACATTCCTCTTATAACGAGAAAATAATAAACAACATGCTTGGGAGCCTTATAGGTGGGTATTTCCTACATTTTATGTTATCTAGAAGATGGCTAAGAAGAAGAACAAAAACAGAAGTCTTGAAGGGGAAAAAGTCAAAGATGAGTTCAAGGTTATGGTTCTGTCCGTGCTCAAGTAGTAGTAGTAACCCTGATGATAAGAGCAACTCTCCATCCCTTGGTCAATTTCTTGCTCTTGAAAGAAGAGCTTCTATTAAACATAGAAAGAACCAAATCCCTCTAGTTTGCATTGATGTTGAGTTTGCATGCATTGAGAGTCAAAGTCAAACAATTTAGAACCAAATTCATTTTTTGTGAATGGCACTATTGCTCCCACTCGGTGCATGAGTTCAAGGCAGAGAAAAACCTGTGCATTCGGGTACGGCAACAATTGGTTTGGCTCACTTGCAGATATGTTTGCATCCATGCTTCTGTCAACAATTACTTTGACTGTGGCATCCCACACATTTACCATTAATTTGTTCTCTACCTTTCATTTTCTCTCTTTTGAAAATACGTCAAAAGATTTGTATGCAAGTAATAACTTTAAAATAAATATGAACAAAAATCTATTTAAGTATAAATCTAAACACGTATTGTGTTTTTTTATATATATATTCTATAGATTATATGTTATTTACTCCTAACCCAACCCCTTCTTTAAAGACCTGAAATCAAACATTAGCTATCAACTCCTTTTTCTAATGTGAATCAAAATCATTCACCTTAAATGGCATTGCTCCTTTTTCTTATATATGTATATATGCAATTCAAACATAATTCATAGTATAATAATTAAATTGTTAATACAATTAAAATGGCTAAGCACATGAAATATTTTGATTTCATTAAAATTTTGATCCCTAAAAAAATACAAGATTTTATTATTTAAGTCACCTATTATTTTTTTTATAAAATGGATTCTTCTGTTTTTATTTAGTTCTTATAAATATTATTATTTCTATTTAGTCTTTTATTTTTAAAAATAAATATATATTTTATAAACAATATTATTAATAACTGGTTTTATAGAATATAAACTAAATAAAATTTTTAATTTTTTAAATTACCAAAAATTAATTAAACCTACGTCGTTAAATTTATATCCAAAAAATCTTACAGCATATACATTATAAGTCTTCATTTCTTCAATCGAGCTTGAAGCTTGGGACCATTGACCCAAAATAGAATAGCATAATGTAAAAGCAGGCATATTTGTCTGCCAAAAGTCATCTCATTATAAAAGTAGTTACATTATTTAAATATTCAAAAGCTATAAATAGTATTTAAAAATAAAAAACAGATATATTTATTTGTGATAGAAAAATTATTTTTAGTTTCTTGATTAGTATTAGAAAAAACATTAATTAACATTTGAATATATATCTTAATGTACATCCTAAAATTAAAGAATAATAATTATTCTATTTTGTAATTAAAAATATTTTTATCCATATTTATTTACTTATAATTATTAATTAAAATGTTTGTGCTGAATTATTGTTTATAAATTTTTTTAATATATATTATAAACGCACTTTCTTGTACGAGTGTTCCAAAACAAAGAAAATTTCAATGTTGGGAGAAGGATGCTTTTCTGATTGGTGAACGTACTTTTTTGAAATTGTGGGTAGTGATTGATGGAATCGATCGGTGTATACGATCGATACATCGCACCTCTCTTCTTTTTTAGTATCATTGGTTATCATATCTGCCACGTTCCTTTCCAGATTCATTCATGTGAAGATTACGAGACTCTTAATTAATTCTCACTCTTTAATAATTCTTTTCGTCTTTTTATAATCCACATTTTAATATTATAGTAGTACTTAGCAATATGGCACATGTGATTTTTAACATTATTTATTCTTGTTGATATCTGTGCGTGCAGCTTCAATGCAGAAACCAAGGCTAATGTCTATAATAGATTAAAAACATTATTTTATATTTCTTATACATTTTAATATGATTATTTTTAATTAATACTGCAGTTAGCAAAATCCAACGTTAAAATAATGTTGACAAAACTATGTGATGTATTAGATTAAAATGCAACAGTTGAGAAAGTTGACCTTAGTTTAGGAAAAAAGATTTTCTTAAACAAATGAGGTATTACAAATTATGATAAGATACTGATTATACTTTTAAAATTTAGCTCATTTTCATATATTTGGTTTTCTTCCCTTTCCTTTTAATTATTGATCTAGTGAAAGTAGCTTATTTCAGTTTAACAGTTGGTTTATGATATTAACGAATAATTAACTATTTTATTTTAGCTTTATCTTGATTAAGTAATTAATGTGCTTTTATAGCATTGTATTTAATAATTCACTCATATGAAAATTTAGAAAGAGAGAAGATATTTCAACAAAAAAATTAGCAAATATATCACTTTTCAAGATATTTATGATATTTCTTAATCTTTATGTTAAACCTTAGACGATGACTAAAAAATAATAAAAGGAATATAATATTTACTGAAAATTTTTAACGTATATTCAAGAATAAATAAAAAACAAATAAATAGTAAATCTTTATTAGATATAATTGTAGCATTTATTTTTATTAATACATTAAAGTTTTTGATATTTTGTATTTTTATAAAAAATATTATACATAATTTCATATTATATATAATTGAATGAGTTATAAAAAATATTAATATTTAATTATAATTTGTTAGTTATTTTGTGTATTAAAAAGTTTATTCTAGAACAAATTGTAAGTACAATTTATTAAATATTTTTACACTATTTTTTAATTAAAATTTTAATTTCATTTCAATCAAAGATGATCATTTAATGTTATTATAAATTATGAAAAAAAAATTCTAACTAATCTCCAAGATCTAAATGTAGATTTTTTATATATAAAATGTAACAATAAATTCATGTCTATCATTCTCAATATATTTTAATATAATTTTAAATAAAAAAATTATTTTTTAATTATTTAACCAATACATTAATTAACAAAATCTTTAACTTTTTTTATCTTAAAAACTAAAAAAACACATGAATAACTGTATTTAAGTATTACATCTTTTGTATTATATTTCATATATATTTTTGGGAAAATGGGCATCTTTATTATAGTCTAGGTCATGAATGACATAACCTTCCATCTCACTTTTCTGCTAACTCCTTGCAAGTGTCTCTTTCGGCCTAAAATTATTAGAACAACACAGGAGTTGATGCTAATCAGTGTTCACATTTATTGTACCAATGATGCTAATTCTACTTGTCAACATGCTATCCAAAGCCCAATCAGGTGCAAGTAACCCTGCAAGTGATCCTGACACATGAATTTGTCCTCATTGTGTTATATTAATTGCAAGGTTCCACTGCAAGTGCACTAATTCTAATTATTCAACCGACACAGACATAATCACATGACACCCAATAACAGCAAGCCACCCCTTTTCCTTTAGGATTTTATTCTGGTATAAAGAAACAAATCAGAAGCAAATACACATTACATTTTCATATGACCTTAGGCTTAAACCTCTATTCATGAGAAAATAAATTTCTCATTTCAATGCCCAAAATCATCGATGCAGGCGATGCTTCTTCTTTCTCAAGAAATAATAATAATAAAAATGTTACAATTTACAACATGACATGCAACCACACTTGGTACCTACTACCTTGACCTTCAATCTTACTCACTTTGCTTAGTTTCCAAATTCCAACAATATAAGTTGAACTTTTCTTTACTCTTTAAAATGCTTTCATTTTGCCTTGCTTCCCAAGCAATTTGTTGTCACATTTTCTTGCCAATGTTGTTTATCATAGCATCAATTTTGTTTATCATCATCCCACTCATTTTCAGCAGCAATCCTTCCAGAGCTGCGGCTACCCATTTTTCCAAATGAATTCACACTTGATAATCCCTTGAAGCTGCTGCTAGTGCTACCACCCTCGTTCATGTTCCTGGGCTTCCTTGATTTGCTTGGTTTGGAACAAGTGATGTCAAAACCATCTTGATCAATGTCATCATGGCTTTCTTTTTTGACAACCACCAATCTAGCTATGGTGCTTCGGCAAAATGGACAAACTGGTGGAATGAGACGAGAAGTAGAAGGGTTGGGCTTGTTGTGACAACAAAGGGCTAGTGTGCATTGTGCACACATCTGGTGACCACACTCTTGGACTTCAATTGTACACACCTGCTCAAAGCATATGCAGCATAACTCCGTCTCACTAACCTGATCAATTATCAAATATAAATTAGAATGCTGCTGCATTAAAACAACAAAAAAGGATCTTTTAACCAGTGAAGTGTGTAACACATTAATTAATGAATCAATAATAATTTCTTTTTATTAAAGCCATGTTAACCGTGTATTTCAATACCAAAAAAGTCTTTTTTCACTAAATGAGATTAGCTATATAAATCATATGATGTCTGTCACTGGACATTAAAAGTGTATTAATAACTTACTGTCAATTTACGTTGTTCTTAGGAAATGTGTTTTCATAATTCAATTCCATTGTATATGACAGAAAAGTATAGTTTGTTCAAAATAGTTAGTGTAAATGCAAAGGTGTGAAGTTACCTCAGAGATATTGTCATCTACCCCATCAGGGTGTGGCGGAGATGGAAGAGTGTGAACACTCCCTTTCAATATGTTTTTCTCTCTTTCCCTGTTCGCGTCCATCAAGGCCTGCTCTAATAATTCTTTGGCCTCTGGATTAAGCTCACTGATGACCTTCAAAGATGATGGCCAGACAAGAGGCTCTGCAGATGAAAGATTTAGCAATGCTGCACATGCGCCATGTCTATGTTTCAGAGCAACCATATACGGTATCCTCCTGCATAAACACAACACATAGTATGAAGGAAATTTCAGAAATACTCAGAATTAAAGCTAAATAAAACATTGCTACTAGATTGTAATTAAGAACTCATATTGTTAAAACTGGACATTGCTTGCTAAACTGAAAAGTTGCACAGGAAATGAGAAATTGTATTTGCACAATTATTTCTTTACAATAAAAAGAGTGATTTGATTGTGAAGAAAAAAGACTTAAACGTAAGATAATTAATGCCATAAATAGAGTAAAGAGGTCAAATAATATTATAAATAAGTAGAGTAAAAAAGTGTCACATAAATAATATAAGAGGATGGCCCATCAAACAAAGTGATAATATTTTATATTAGTGAAACTATAGTGTACCCTGAGGCATCACGTTGAAGGCGATCAGCACCCCATGCCAAGAGTTCACGGATGCAATCAAGAGATCCCCCTTTGGCTGCAAGATGAAGAGGAGTGCTCCCAGGACAACTGCAAATAGCAATTCATCAATCCACAAAACAAATTAATACATAAAATTCAAGCTTGTCAACATCAAAACTTTAACAGATGATTACCCATATCTGCCAGTTGAAGCACAAACAAGAGCTCCACTGTACAATAGAATATGTACACATTCAGGCCGTCTTTGACGTGCTGCCAAGTGCAATGGTGTTGCTCCTCTACCATCTCTAATATTCACAAACCGAGCAAAACCCCTGCAATCAATTTGCTCACTTTCTTTTATTAATTTTTTAAACAGTTTATCCAAATTCGTATGATAAGAAATAAAAAATAGTTAAGATTTTATTGAAAATTATAGCTGTGATTTTATATACATTAAATCTTATAATTTTAATAAAGATTTACCCTTTATTATGTGTTCTTAGAAACGCTTTAGAAAAAATGATTTTCAAAAAGCAACATAAGAAATCACCCATGAATCAATTAGGGGAAAAGATATGCTAAAACAGAAAAAGGACTAACCAAGAAGCAGCCACTGGACTTGATTGAGCAGCAGAAAGAATCGCCTTAAGGCAAGAAGAATGGCCATAATAGGCGGCATAGTGCAAGCAAGTTCTTCCATAACAAGCATCAAACATTAATACCTGACATTTTTTTAAGAAAAATAATTCCAATCAAAGAATAAGAACTCAGAAAATTATTGGAATAAGCATCTCAGGAAAGTTAATTTCAAATTTGACCCACATTAGCACCCGCTTCAAGGAGCTTTTCCACACAGGCGGTCTTGCCGTGCATTGCTGCCAACATAAGCGGTGTCTGAATGGTTCACAATGCAATGAAGGATTAGTATTTCCTATGGCAATATTTTCAAGTGGAACCAAATATCCCACATTCAATTCAATCCAAACATGAGCAAAAATGGGAAACAACAGCAACAAGTTACCTGCTTTTGGCGATTCAACACATCTGGATTCACAGATCCATCTAAAAGCCAAGATAAAACCTGCAGAAAAGTTGAGAGTCAGCAATGAAACTGAATACCCAATTGGGTAAACAAATATGAAACGGTGAAAAATGAGAAACCCACCTGGATCTGGCCATTAGCAGCTGCAATATGAAGAGGAGAGTGATGATCATAGACAGTGGAGTGATGCAGAAGAGAAGGGTGTGTCTGTAACAAAGCTGCAACAGTGTCAAGGTCCCCATGTTGCACAGCACGAAAGAGGCCATGTTCATGGCTCCCTCTGCAACTCAACCCCTGACCCATCCCTTTCTCTATGCCTTCTTCTGCGCCACCTTTAGCAGAAACGGTGGCCACCCCTCGATTCCTCCACGTATTCAATTCAAACTTTGAATGAACATATATTGAGTTTGAGTTGAGAAAATGGCATAAGAGAGAGAGAGAGAAGAGAGAGAGAGGTAGCTGAGTGTGTCAGTAATGAGCAGTTACTGAGACTGACTTGGCTTTGGTATCAGACAGATTCCCACAAAAGGGTAGGCTCCAATATCCCCAAACTCTGAATTCAATATCCACCTTTTGTTCCATCAAATCCAACGCTTCACCTTCAAACGCACTCTTAGATACAAACTCGTTAATAAGTCATCTCATCTACCGTAATATTGCAAATATTATTTGAATCCTTAATCATAATTTTATTTTATTGACTAGTAAACATGTCAAAAACATCAACTTGAAGTTCGAGTTTCCGTAATTTGACTGGGGCTACTTGGTCTTGTTACTAATTTTGTTCTAATACGAAAATTCTTCGTTGGATCCATGTATTCTACTTCGAGTCAAAACAGTAACCTCTTTTCCTCCATCGTTAGACCATTCAATTTATTTCTATTTTTCTTTTACTGGGTCCCCAAAAGTTTTTCTACTCATGTTTTTTCCTTTGCGTGAAATTCTGCTGTTCATATATGCTTTATGGAGTCCGTTACAAGACGAATGATCTTATAACGGTAAATGTAAAGAATGGGTGCGAGAAGAAAAATAAATAAATAATAAAAATATGACGAATAAGTAGGTATTAGAAGTGAATGGAAAAAAAATTATTAATACAGAAAGTTATTAAACATATATTAGATTATATCACAAATTATATGAGAGGTATATTCATTATATATTTTAAAAGAAAAAAAGTTTAATTCTTTTCCCTTCTTTTTAATAAACCAAAAGTGTTACAATAAAATCTATTTTGGTTAGATGATTAAAGTGTTAATAATAATTATAACAATACTTTGTGTTTGATTTTAACTTTACGACAACGACATTGCTTGAAAAAACAAATGCCCTGAAAGTGATTATCCCCAACAGTGAAACTTGGATAATCTGATTAGTCAATCATCTAAACCCCCGTCAAGGAAGACAAGTTGTTTTATGCTTTTAAAATCAAGTTTGAATATATCAAATAACTAAAGCAATTTTTACTTTAACACTTTCACTTTATATTTTTAAATACAAAATACGCCTTTCTGTAGCTTCCTTAGTTTACTGGTGGCATAAACTAGCTAACAATCAAACTTCAAAAGAAACCACCCATTTTAAGAAAAAGAAAAAACTAACTATTTCACCTTTTCACATTTTTTTTTTTGCTTATTTTACCTTCTACAATGAATTTCTATTTTTAAGAATAAAACAATATTTTTATATATTCTTTTCATCACATAATCATACCTCTTTTTCATTTGTGATGCGTGTCGTTTGAGTTTTTCATATTAAATTAAGTTCATATTTTTAATTAATTTTTCATCAAAGGAAATTACACTATTTTCTACCTTAATGAAAAATACTTAAAACACATTATTCGCTCCTCTAATTTTAAAAATTGCACTTAGTCCCTTAAAAGATAAAATGTACTGCACTTTATTAAAGACTGAATAAAGACTCGTATATGAAATATGTGCATAAAATTTTGTATCTTACAAAATACGTGGTATAGTTATTTATGTTAATGTGCAAATTGACTTAAATTTTATATTTGTTTGTTATTTAATAATATATAATATAAAAAATATGAAAAAAAGTTATTTATTATTAACTCAATTACAGTTTTATCTATTTAATCATAACTTGGCACTTTTATGATTTAATCATCTATTTAATTTTTAAAAAATTAATAATACGTACAATTTGAGATGATTTCTGATTTTTTTTTCTTTCATTACGGAATAAGGGTCTGCAAGTCGTCTTTTTAGGTCAACAAGGATTCTATTAAAACACATTATTGACAAAAACTTCGTTATGGGCCAAGAAATCAGCCCGCAATAGAAACATCCCCAGTATCAAGTCTGGCAACAACCAAACTCATATAATAAGTTTGTTTTTTTTTCTTTCTTTATAAATAGAGGTATTTAGTAAATATGAATAGCTCCAAAGCCCAAAATTAATACATGCGATTGTAAATAACTACACTTGTTGCTACCTTCTATTTTCTATTAGAAGTGTTTTATGTTCACAAAAAATTAATTAACATCAATGAGGTCATACTTGTATGCATGGCTTTTTTATTTAAATAATATATATTTAAAAATAATTTTTAAATTTTTTTTAAAAACTGATTCTCTATTTAGTATTTTTTTTAGTCATGTTAGCAGTATTATTGTTTATGTATGGACGATAATAAGTTATTATTATTATTATAATAGACTGTTGGTTCAAGATGGCCGATACTACTCAGAAATTAACAAGTGTTGTAATTATATATGCATCGGAAAAGATGCGATGATAATAAATTGTATTACTATTGTATAAGGATAGCCAATATTATAATTTTTATTATTATTTTAATAAATTATTATATGAAAATAGTCTATACTGCTGAGAACTGAGTTGATTGTTGTCTATGCAAAAAGTGATGATATGGAGTCCGCGCAGAAATTGTTTGATGAGGATATGGCGGGTTAGACTGCAATGGTTACTGGTTATATCTAGAATGCCATGCCAGAGAAAGTAGTGAAATTTTTTCACTACTTTATAAGATTGATGAGGTTACCTTGATTGGTGTTATGCGACAATTAAATTATTTTATAAGATGTTGGAAACATAAATAAAACAAATTTATGTTACTTTTGTAGTCACACAGGCATGGTAAACTAAAGTTAGTAGGTTTTTGCTACCATGGAAAGATGTTTTGGTGTTGCTACAACTATAATGGGTTGCCTTCAAATCTCTCTGCCAGTAGAAATCCCAGCTTGGATTATGGTTTCAATGGAGCTGAAAGTGTCATGGCATCTTACTGTTCTGATCTTCAATACTTGACCAGCCTAGTAACGAGCCACGTCCAAAGTGCTGAACAGCACAATCAAGGTGTTTCGAGTTTTCAGCAATATCAACTATCTTCGTACAAGTCTGTTAAAATAATAATTATTATTACTTATAATAATTTATTAAAATAATAATAAAAATTTATTATCATTTAATATATAGATGATATTACTGTTAACATAATAAAAAAAACACCAAATAAAAAATTAGTTTAAAAAAATTATATTTTAAAAAATTATTTTTAAAAATATATTTTTTAAAAAACACATGTATACACAGAAACATCATTATATTCAAATTTGGAGTGTTCATGATCCGATTTGGCTTACAAATTCACGTGCCTTGACTTAACATTGATTTTTATGAGATTATATTTTCAGAAATAAATTTGATGTATTTAAAGATGCCTTCAGTTATTTTTAAGTCCTAATTTGGGATGGTGTCTTAAATCTCTTAAATTTTTAATAATTATATATTAATAATAACTTTTTTTCAATGAATAACATTTTGTATAATATGAGGTTATTTTTATATTATTTATATTAACATACATATGACAAAATATGCCATAATTCTATTTTTATATTTGATTTGTTTTTATTATTCAGTTACATATATTACAAGGTTAAAATTGATATATGATGTAAATAAAATGAAATGAGATAATTTTGTACTTTTCATATAGTTGTGGATTCAATTTTTCAAAACTTCTTAAGCTGTCTAAAATATCGATTGGTGGGCATCAATCTCCAAAAATATCTATTGGCGTCTAAACATTATCTAAGTGGCTGCTATTAGATAAATTTTCTTGTGATTTAGGTCTCTGGATTAAGTCTCTTACATGTTAGTGGTGGGCTTTTTTGCCCTTTTAAGGTTAAATTTAAAAAAAATTACTAAAAGAGGGCTTCATGTAAACATATTCCCAGTCTGGGGTTGGGGGTGACGTGGCAAGAGAATCGTCCATATTAGGGACAACACATATGATGACGTGACGAATTATGAGAGTGTCGTCCCACCAGTAGCCGACACTCATGACAGTGTCGTCCTATTATTAGACGACACTCATTAAATGTTGACACGTGTCACTCAATGATGCCACGTTCTATCTTAATCATCTTTTTCTCTCCTTCAAAAATTATACCTTCATTTTCTTCATATATTCTACTATTTGAATATAATATAACAACAATTTCATTCATCCTGCATTACAAATAAGCCAAATTTATAATATAATAAAATATATTTAAAAATTTATTTGTAATTACAAATATTTAAATTTTTTTTAATACTTAAAAAATTTATATTACAACATTAACACTTAAAATATTATCCAAATATAAAATAAATATTATTATTCTAAATATAAATTCTTAATAGCCAATAAACAAAATTATATATTTATAATGCTTAAAAAAATCTAACCTTATTATTGCTCTTCTTGCAATTTCTTCTCCAGCCTATCTAGTTACAATGTCTTCTCCAGCAGCCTATTCGTTCTTCAGCTTCACGGTTAAAATGTGAAAGTTTCATATTTATACACATTTGAAGTTGGATAAAAGAATGTATCAAAATTTTTATCCACTGGTCACATTAAAATCGGGTATCGTGGGCCGGTATTGGAATCGTCTTTGTTATAGACGCTACTAAAATCGTCCAAAAATAGATGACACAACTTCATTAAGCGACACGTGTCAACATCTCATGAGTGTCGTCTAATAATGGGACAACACTGTCATGAGTATCGGTTCTGGTGGGACGACACTCTCACAGTTCGCCACGGCATCATATGTGTTGTCCCTATTATGGACAACTTTCTTGCCACATCACTCGCCCACCCCAGACCGAGAATATGTTTACATGAAGCTCTATTTTGGTATTTTGTTTTAAAATTAACTCTAAAAAGGCAAAAAACTCGTTAGTGGTGTCTCGTCAGTAGAATTAGAGATACTAACTCCATTCTACTGTTTTTGTTTAAAAATAGGATTAGGCGATAATTATGCGCCTCAAACACACAAATTTTCTTTTTAAAAAAATGAATGAATTTTTGTCAGTTTATATATGTTATTAGGAAAAGTTGTAATTATTTAATTATTCTTGATATATGATATTTAAAACTAATATTTATTGATCACAATATATATATGAGAAAATCTTTTTACATTAATGTA